TCAAGGCTGATGCTAAATGTAAAATTCAAAACTGTCCAGCAACTTTTCGTTTAACATTAAAAGATATTGATACGAAACCACGATCATTTTTAGTCGAAATCAGTGATACTCCAAAACATGATAACAACGAAGTTCCAGCAAGAAGACAGCTAACTGGAAATAATCGTTTAGAAATGGGTTAGTTGAATAAAAAAATAACAAACTTCTCAACTCTATCGCTGTGTTATAGAACAAAATATGGAGAGAATGACTTGGGAATGAAAGGAAGTTAAAGAACTTGCTAGCTACTCAAAATGTCTCATGGAAAAGGTAAAAATAAAAAATAAAATAAGATTATTTCCGTCTTCTCGAAAATAAAGCGTGGAAAAAACTTCTATAGGAAAGAAAATCATCGTGACTCTAATAACGAGTTTCTTAATGAAACTGTCTTCTCTCGCTGTATTTTTCGCTTCAACTGAATTAGTGACCAGTAAAGGTCCTCTACGTACCTTTGAAGAAAATATGGAAAAAGCAGACGACAATTTATTAAAAGACAATAGCTTCACGTTCGTGCCACCAATACCCGTGCTGAAAACAATTGCAAATGAATACCGGCAAAATCACAGGCTTAGTGAAGATATCTTCACAGAAATTCGAATTTTGAAACGTGCACTAGCAGTAGCTGACATTTCTTCAAATGATTTTAGTGGTAAGTGCCTGAAAGGAACTAATTACAATAAACGGGTACCGAACGAAGTCTTAATCTTCTCGCCTCTCTTAAGTTCTTATTTTAAAGTACGAATTGTTGAAGCAAAAGAGAAAATAGTCTTAAGTGTTTGCAAGCTACTAACGAGGGAACATATCCAACTGTCAAATCGCTTTTCTAACGAAATGCGGTAGCTTATAGGTAATCGATCATGCTGATTCCGAATATGATAGCCGTTTTGGCTAATAGGCCTTTCCTAATCGCTTTCTAGAAAACCAGTTTTCCAGAAACCTCAAAAAATCCCCAAGAATTTTTCTAAATAAGTCACAACTAGAGCTCGCGAAATTCTGATTAAAATGAGACATCTCCCAGCTCTAC